TTAAACAAACTTCCTTTTCTCATTTGTCATAAATTAAGTGTATCCCTTGTAGTCATAAATAAAGTCTCTATATATGCCTGGGTCTATGGATAACCTTTCCGAATTGTGCCATTGGTCTGTCTATACTTTTAGCAGTAGTAATTGTCTTAAATTACTTTAGCTTTATTATAAGTGTTAGTACACTGTAGTTAATAAATTTTACCATTTTATTGTTCTATTTCAAGAGTTTCTCATTTACTCTTGGCCCTTTACTTTTCTATATAAATATTGGAACAGCTTTGGTCAAATACTACACCCCCCGAACTAAATTTGTTGGGTTTTATATTAGGGTTGCACTGAATTTGTAGATGTACAGAACTATTTGAGAGGAATTGACATAATAATATTGATTTCAATGATGAATAACATATATCTTTCAATTTTTTACATTTTCCTGCAAAAAAGTCTTACACATTTTGTTCTATTTATTCCTAAGTGTTAGCTATGCTTTGATGTTATGAAAAATGATATTGTATCTAAAATTTCATATTCTAGCTATTGTTGATATAGAAAAACTACAGTTAATTGTCTTATCTTGACCTTGATTTAATCAAAATTGTTAAATTTACTTAATAGTTTATCTATAGATTTATTTAGTTTTCTATGAATTCAATCATATCTACTAGTAATGAGTTTTAGTTATTTCTCTCAAATATAATGTCTTTAATTTTTTTTGCTTGACTCATTAAACCAGCTAGGACCTCCAGCACAACACTAAACAGAAGCAGTAGTAACAAGCGACCTTGTCTAGTTCCTCATCTCAAATGGAAAGCCTTCAACATTTCACCATTAGGTATGTTTGTTATAGTTACCCTTTAGTAAACTAAGGAACTTTTCCCCTTTTGTTTCTAGCTTGCTCAGCATTTTTTAAGGAATGAATGTATATTGAATTCCATCAAGTGATTATCTGTATCTATTAAAATTATCTTTTATTCTATGAAAATTACATTGGTCACTTTTTAATGTTATTGCACCCTTTAATACAATAAACAGAAACTGGTCGTAATACATTATACTATTTAAAATTTCTGGGTTCGTTTTACTAATATTTTAAGAATTTTGCATCTACATTCAGGAGTGAGATTGAACTGTCATTATCCTTTACCATAATGTCCTGGTCGGGTTGTGGTATTAAAGGTATGGTAGCCTCATAAAACAAGCTGGAGAATGCTCCCTCCTTTTCTGCTCTAGTGGGTTTCGTAGAATTAGATAGTGAATACCATGTGAATCTAGAGTTATCTTTGTGGGGGGCTTTTAATTATTGATTCGATTCCCTCAATATAAAGGACTTTCTATATCTTATGTCACTTTGGTAATGTGTTTTCCCAGGAATTTGTTAACAACCTAAATTTATCAGCATAAAATTGTTCATATTTCCTTACAAAATTTTTCATGTTTATAAGATCTGTAGTAATGTCTCTATTTTTATTCTTGATACTAACTGTACCTGCCTTTTATATTCTTGATCAGTCTCACCGGTTGTTTATCAATTTTATTAGTTTTTTCAAAAGTAAACTTTTAGCCATGTTGATCTTTTTTATTGTTTATTTCATTATATAGACACTCCCCAACTTATGGTGGTTCAACTTACAATTTTTCAATTTTACAATAGTGCAAAAGTGATACGCATTCAGTAGAAACTGTACTTCAAATTCTGAATTTTGATCTTTTCCCAAGGACAGTGTGATATGTTGATATCATTGATACTGTTGTGATTCTAGGTGGCAGCAGTGAGCTGCACCTCCCAGTCAGCCATGTGTTCACAGGGTAAACAACTAATATGCTAACAGTGTACTGTGTTATCAGTGCTTTTTGGATATTGCATTTTGTGTTGTCACATCCCGTCATGTCTATAAAATGCCCATCTGTGTCTCCTGCTTCTGATGAGAAAAAGAGGAAGGATTTACTTTTGAGCTGAAATTCAAGATAATTGCCCAACCATAAGTTAATGTAAGGTTCTGAGCATGTTTAAGGCAGGCTAGGCTAAGCTATGATGTTGGGTAGATTAAGTGTATTAAATGTATTTGGATACTTATTTTCAACTTATTATGGGTTTACCCATAATATGGGACGTAACCCCATCATAAGTCAAGGAATATTAGTATTATTAATTTTTGCTGGCATTTTTATTTCCTTTTTCTGTATTATTTGTGTTTATTTTAATGTCATTTTGTCATTTTTCAAGATGATTGCTTAGCTCATTTAATTTTTTCTTTTCCTCTTTCCTAATGTGTCCATTTAAGTCTATAAATAGTTCTATAACAATTTGGCTACACACTGCAAGTTTTTATTTGTAAGATTTTTATAATCATTCAGTTCAAAATCTTTTATGTCCATTATGATTTCTTCTTTGATTCATGGATTACTTAAAAGTGCATTTTTTTTATCTTTCCAAAATATAAATTTTCTGGTTATATTTTCTTATTGTTTTCTAGCTTAATGATATGTGGTCAGAAAAAATACTCTGCATAATTTCAAGTTTCACAAATTTGTTGAAATATGTTTAATTATTCCACTATATGGTCGATCTTTATAGAAATTCCTGGTATGCCTGGTGTATTATACTCTGAGGTTATTAGATTTACATACCACAGTTAAGTATGGTAATCATATTATTAAAATGTTCTATACTTTAATTTTTTTTTGAGGAAAAAACATTTTTAGTATATTAAAATCTCCCTCTATGGTTGTAGATTTGTTTATTTTTTTTTCCTGTAATTCTGTCCACTTTTGCTTTGCAAAACATCTGGAACATTTTTCTCCTAGGAATCTAGGGATTTACCAAGGTCCACATCTTTGCGAGCCCTGAACTCCACTTTTTCCCTTTAGGCCCATGAGTCTGTCAAAAGCACTACTCAGTACTAACAAATACTCATTAACAAGTATCTGGTTAACATTTTCTGATATCTTTAAGCAAATGCTTTGATATTTTGTCTAGCTTCTCTAGTTGTTGTGAGGGAGAGGATTTGTCCAAATATCTAGTGCTCTATTAACTGAAGACAGAAGTTCTAATTCAGTAGTTTTTATTAATGTTTCTAGTCACGGTACCCCTCTTATGATATGAGTTTATATGAAAGCTCGGTACATGAAAGATAGAAACACAGAGATGCTGAGACTAGAAAATGTCTGAAGATCTCAAGGTTTCCCAAGTAAGTCTAGTTACAGTGAAATATTGAACTGATCCCAAGAACTATAGTATCCTAGATATATACTAAATATATATATAATTGACCATCTGAGTTTATGTAACAGTTCTATTGGTTTACTTAAGAGTCTACCTCTAAGAAATGGCTTTTCACTTAGTGTACCTATACATTATTGTTTTTCTGAGATTGCAAGGTTGAAGTCCACTTCCTTCCATTTATTCTTTAAAGTCTCTTAAGAAATACCCTGAAGATTTCTGATGAAGATAAACATTGTCATAAACCTGACTAATGTTATTAGCTCTATCTTCTTCTCTCTTAATTTTACAGATATATTAGCCAAATATATATCTCTTCATAAAGTATTTAGGTATGTATACCTCATAAATTATTTATATTAGGCATATTTATATGAATTTATATATAATTTATGTTTCATTAGGTATACTTCAGAAATGAAATTAATCAACATATTAATAAATATCAAATTAAGTGACTTCTACATATAAAGTAATATGCTATAAGTTCCTAATTTACAGGGAAAAGATATGGTCCCCTTTTCCATGTTTTTAAATTAATGTGACATTGACTTGGGTTTTAATAGCTATATATTAGGAGGACATGTTTATTTCTCTCTCTTCCTTGTGTTTTTATGTAGAAGAACCTCCACTAGTGGAAACTTTCTAGCATCTTACCAGAAGTGAGTTATCCCATTTGCAGGTTTAAAAGAAAGAAACTAGCATGGTTGGTATAGCCCCTTTTTCTTTTTGGATCAGCCTATTTGCAGAAAGGATGTATTCTTACTTGCTCTCCTACCAGTACTAATGGAATTAGACTTTATGAGGTAGTGCTAGTGGAAGATTCGGGTTGACCTAGCTCTGCCTTTGACGCAATGGGCACATTTAATTCTGAAATTCAATATTAGAAAACTCACTTGGTTCACATCTACACATATGCCCTTCAATGTAGCTTTTCTCAGTAACTAAACTCTATTTTGATAATCATCTGACTCCTATAATTCTCTATCAAATGGTTTTGAACTTGGGCAAGAATATGATCGATCTTTTTAATAAATGGATAAATTTCTAGGTATTTCCAAAAAAAAATCCAAGCTATAGTATTTTCTTTTAGTTAGTTGAATCCTATCATCTTTTCATGGTCACTTATTTTTTTAAAAGTCGTCGTTTATTCTCTTCTATCCTGAGTAGTACTATAACTTATGTATACTGAAAATAAAGTCACGTATTTATCTTTAATTCAAATGAGAACTATAATTGTCTTGAGAATTGCTAAAATGTATTTCTTGTTTATATTTTTTAACTTAAAAACAATATTATTTTTTATGCTTTTTTAACTCAACAACATTTATGAAAATTCAATTTTTAAATAGAACTTAACGAATTCACTTCCCACTGATTTGTATGGTGATGAAAGGAGTAGCAGAGGCATACTGAACAATAAAAATTAAACTAAAGGTATCTCTTCAACTGTTAGGATAAAGAATAAATGTTGAAACATCCCTGAGGAAAAATGTTAAATTGTTAGCATTTTTGGTTGCTCTTACTTGGCTTTTGAAAGCAAAGTATGTAAAACAAATAATCTCATTTCCATGCAGGTTATTTCTTTCACCTTCAGTTTTGTTCAGTCCTTTAAAGGTAAAGATTGTGCAAGATTGAGATTTTATAGACAATAGTATGCATGAATTTTCAGTCTTTAGCTTCTCTTGCCATATAAACAAAAAGAGACTTTCAATTTCAAACTGCATTGTGGCATTACTTTACATAAAACTCCCAGAGTCTAGGGAATGTAAACAAGTACCTGGAATTACCCCAATTGGTACCAATGCTTGAGAGCGATCCTCTTGTGTCACTTGCATATTTGTAAACCACTAGCAGGCACTGTTTACAAAGCTCAACCAGGCGCTGGCAACATTGGAGCTGCAAAGGAGTCACCACCTCCGGGCTTTTACTGAAAATACTCTCCCAAGAGGATCTGTTGGCATGGAAACAGACATGACCTCATGAGGCTGCTAAAAATGGCAACCAGCCATATCACTTACCTAGCAACAAAGCAATAAGAAAAAGAAGAAATAGGCTCACACGTTTGAAGCAACTACAAAAGGTTGAAAGATAAAAAATAAATACGTATTCGAAAATTAATTTTTACATTAAAAAACACAACATAGAATTCATAGACTATTTGTCTTTAAAGACTTCACTGCTGCCAACTGTGAGTAGCTAACAGGATGGTTTCCCAACACTTCCTGAAAAACTGAGTTATTCTATATCAAAGTATTTGTAAAATACTGAGTTAACTTCTCAAAAGTTAGGTATTCTAGGAATTTAGGTTTTCTAGGAAGCTATATTTACCTCTCCCTTAAAAATAATCCCACCAAAGAATTAAAAGTTGCTGCTACTTAATTTGTAACCTTTTCACACCAGGAGAATGTAGGTTAATCCCCTGATTATGACCACCCTTTTCAAAACACTTTCATATGTAATTATATCCATGATATTCCTAGAGCGTATGTTTTGTACTCTGGAAATAATGTTATCTCAACAAGTACTATCCTACTACAGTCTCAAAGGTAGTGTCCTCCCCTCCTTTAGTGCAGTCAGCTTATACCAAAGCAGGCAGTAGTGCGCATGTTCTTGGTAAATTTCAATTGTGTGTGTGTATTTACAATTCCTAAGTTTACTGTCATGGCCCAAATCAGGAAATACCAAAAGAGAGGGAGAGGGAAGGATGGGAGGAGAGAGAGAGAGAGTGAGAGAGAAGAGGAGAGAGGAAGAGAAAGGGGGTGGGGGGGGCGAAGAGAGAGAGAGATTTCCTTAGTGTAAATGAAACTCTTTTCACGCCTCAAGGGGAAAGTTTGGTTTCACACTTGGTAGTGTTTCAAGTCTCATTTTACATAAACCAATTCACTTAACCCTCAGAGAGAGAGAAAAGAGTAGATTTTCAGAAAGAAAAAAATATTAAAGAAAATATTTTTCTGAAGAAATGTACTTCCCAGTGGGAAATTCAGACTCGATTTTCAATCTTCTGTGGATATTTGATATCTTTGGAATTTTTAAAAAATGCTTTAGAAGCTCAGAAAGGTAATTTTTAGTAGAAAGGCTACCGTTTATTTTTTCAGGAGAAACACAGTCCCAAAAAAGATAGTATGTCATCACTGAATGACAGGTTTCCTTAAAAGAAATAAGATTCAAACGAGTAGATTAAAAGGAATAAATTATCTTCCATGTTCTGAGATGTTCAGGACTAAATAGTAATATGCTAGTTAAATTAACTCTAAAATAAAATTTAATTTATTACTAAATATAAGAAAAACTAGATATGAAATACATTTATATATGTGTGTATGTGTGTGTGTGTGTATATATATATGTGTGTATATATATGTGTGTGTGTTTACATAGATATACAATTTGCCCAACTTGATCAAGAAAAGTATTGGAGAACATCAATTAATTAGGGAATATGTTTATAATAATATGTCTTAATCTAGCAGGCCCTACATATTGGGCACAGAGAAATAAAAATTTCATATAAATGTAAACACACACAGAAAACATCCCATGTTCTGTCTGCCTAGCACTTTTCTCTCCATTGGGATTCTGGATATTTCTACAAAAGTCAACTTCTATCACCACCCTCCCCTCTCAATTTGGACATGTTTATATTTTGATCCTTTGGAGCTATTTGATTAGATCCACTATCAGGTCACTCATATCATGGTAATTTTTCTTCTCCTGACTTGGAGTATGGAGGTAAGAAAAGAACAAATAAAATGGAAGAAAGATAAAAGAGATTCCTTGATTTAACATTCTGAATAATATGTGAGTTACAACATGAGCAGCTTTGGCTTCTCATTCTTCCATTCTTCCTTAAATATTTTAAACAAACATATGAATCAAGTCTTTTACCTATTTTTGATGTACATGTTCACCACCATTGGCCAAAAACCACATTCTACTCTATCATCTATACTTGAGTGTCAGCACATCAAAACCCTCATAAAGAGCAAAGAAAATGAACAGGACTTGTTTCACTTGGTACTAGGCTAATGGCAACCCCTCTGCACAAAGGAAATCTGCCCTTTGAATTGATTCCTCCAGCTCCTACCCACTACTTGGCAAAGCTGAGTAAATATGAAATGCCTCTATAACACTACAGAATCTTAATTTTCAATACTAACACAACATTTTTAAGAAGGTGAAAGAACATAGAAATAATTAAAAATACCAGTGCTTTTATCAGAGAACCCAGGGTCTTATCTGTCTGCTTTCTGACTCTAAATTCCAAGGAAATGAAAGGGCCCAAATCCATGAGTTAGAAAAGGAAAATTAAATGGTTAAAATGTTCTTCCTAGTACTCCCTAATCCACAAAGCGATATGAAAGGAAAAGACTTCAAATGATATTTTTTTAGTAATAAAACAAGAAGATACATAATACTGAATACCTCTGGCAACAAAGGGGAAATTATTAATGAAATCCCAAGACTTGAAAAGCTTCATATAATCCAGTAATCCAATAATTTTCATCTCCTTTCTCATCAAAACATTTAATAAGGCAATTATCTAAAAAGTGAAACTGATTTATTTCTTTCTCTTCTCTGGTAGAAGTCCATACAGATGACTGAGTGGCCAAAAGTACAAGAAGGGAGAAGGGAAGATAAAAAAAATCTGGACTATACCAGCTAGATTATCAGCAACAGAAAGATTAATGAGCTAAAGAGTACTAACAACAACACACTGAATTAAAAGTGATGTGAGAATAAGAGTCACATCATTTTAACTAGTCTACATGTTATGCATACATTTTCTAGTAGACATACAATTCATAGAAGAAGACTGCCTTAGAGCATTCCTTACAATTTCTTCTTGCCTAAAGAGTCAAAAAAAAGAAAAAGAAAAAAGCTTTTCTGTGACAAAATTCCATAAGAAAATTCATTTGGCAAAAGGTCCAAACCAGATTTTCTTCTTTGGGGTTTAGATATCAGGGTTTTGAGTAGAGAGAGCTTTTCCAAACAAAGCATTCCTTCTCCTATCCTCGTCCCTGAATCCTCCTCTTTACCTGGCAAACTCCTATTCTTCCTCTTCCTGCAAATCTCAGCGGGAGTGTTATTTCCCTTGGCTACATTTCTTGAGCTCTTAGGCCTAGTTTGAGTCCCATAGCACCTAGACTCCTCCTATCCCAGTAAACATTGTGGATAATTCCAAGAGCTATTCCCCTGGAGAGAACACATTTGGAATATGGGCATTCTAACACTCCCAGGAGACTGCATGTGATACAAAGAGTCACTGAGCATGGACTTCAGCAGCTTGGAAGAGCAACAGAGAAGGATGAAGGTATTTTCTGTGTGATGCATCAGGAAAACTCCTATGCCAATTCTAGAGAAACCTGCCACAAAGATCCACAATATTTTTTGATATTTCTGAATGTGGACAAGCAATGGGTTTTTATTTTTATTATTTGGGTGTTGACAGGTAAAGGCAAAAATCAAGGTAGCCCAGAGTTATTTGGATTATATTTTTCTAAGATTTTATACCTAACCAAATGATAGCTGCACATTTTATTAAAGTCTTTCCTTTAGAACTGAGTTAAGAGTAGATTTTTACTCTGATTACTAGACAAGCCAAAGTTAAATGACTATATATTGACTACACATGATCAAAGATAAGTAGAACTATTCTGGGTCCAAACTAAGAATCAAACACACATAATACCATGTGACCTCATTAAACTGAGGAAGCCTAAGAAACTCATTTGCAAAGCTGCAAAATAAAATCTGGTATTAAACTCACCTCTACAAACTACCAAGTTTTTAAGGAAATGGATGGAGAGTGGAGGTCAAATTGGATTCGAAGCTACTCTTGCTACGCTTGCTCCACCTGCCCAGGTGCAATGGCCTGGAGATTTGGCTCATGCTATGGACTTGCAATAAAGCAAACTTGGTAACCACTGACAATGCTGCTTTCAGGGGAGTCAATAAAATATAGAGTTAAGAGCTTGGGCTCTTGACTCAGACAACCTGGGTTTAAATTCAGGATTGCCTAGTTACTATGAGCAAGTTATATACTCTCTTTATGCTTCAATTTTCTCATTAATACCTTGAGAATAATAATAATCGATTGATTACTCAAATTTTGTAGTGGTGATTATAAAAATATTTAATATGTATGTAATAACTATGTATGGTGTCAGGTGCATACTAGACTTATCAGAGGGATTACCTCATAAGTTACATAAATGTCTAACCACTATGCTATATACCTGAAACTAATATGATATTGAATGCTAACTGTAATTAAAATTTTTTTTAATTAATTAAAGAATATTTACTATGTAAAATGTCAGGCACTTGTTAAGATTTCAAGTTACAATGTCAGGCACTTGCTAAGATTTCAATAAATGTAACTCTCATTCTTATTACTAGTAGTAACAGATACCACCAGGAAAAAAAAAAATCGGAGGAATACTGTGCTAGGAACAAAAGAAAAGCATTCTAATCAAGTTAGTATATATTACCAAAATAGTTCAGGGAAGACGATCCCTAAAGACAAAGAACCACCACTTTATGAGCATCTTTAGGGTCTCGAGGCCACCAGCACCAATTTCAGTAGCAGACTGTTTCACTGACTTCCATGGTAGAGAGTAGCTGGGATTCATATATGGCATTCCAACCAATGGATCAACAAACAGACAAAAATTCCATTCATGAGTTCACATTGAGAAAACGACATCAACTAAGGGGCATGGAATACAGTTCAAACGTTTCACTTAAGTCTCTGTACAAATAATTTATAGCCAGGATTACTCTCAGATTTCATCACAACCCAGAGCACCTTAGGAATTCTTCCTGTTGGTGAATGGCAGCTGAGGAAAATTATGGCGGTGAGAATAAGTCTGCAAATGATATGACTGATTCAGTGCTAGATGACTAGAACATTAAATGGAGGCCATTCAGAGATAATTTCAGACTACAATAGTCTGCTAAGGTTTCACAAAAGAAGTGTACAGGTTGGGTCTTTGCACAGGGTTTCAGTAATGTAGAGAGGATTAGAGGAATGGCTTTTGGAAGCTACCCAATCAGATACTTAATGACTTCAGCAGCTCAGAGGACGAAAAGGGAACACTTTTAAGATATTTGAAAAATAATGAGTTTGTTTTTCTGGAACAGAGTTCAAGTTAAAGAGTAATGTGAGAGAAGACTGTAGAAATAAGAAAGAACAGGCACATTAGAGAGTCTTGTAACTCTAGATAAGAAGTCTAGTCTTTAATGATAAATAAGAGAAATCACTACAGATTTTAGGAAATGACCCTGACAATAAGGTGGATAAGGAAAACAAAAAATGAAGGCAAAAATGCCTAGAAATCTATTAATTTCACCTAGCCCTTCTATCAAAAAGACTGTACTCTCTGAAATCCTATACTTCATCTCTGTCTCTTTTATAATCATTAATTTGTACACATCTTATTTTGTCTACTATAGATAGCAGAGGTTCTTGGTTAAGAGCATGAACTCTGGGGCCAGAGTTCAAATCCCACTTGCACTAGGTCCTCAGCATGTACCTGTGCCTCCAGTTTCCTTGTCTATAAAATGGAGAAAATGAGAGAACATGCTTCAAAGTGAAGTTATGAGGATTAAATCACTTAATACATGTTAAGTGTTTAGAACTATGCCTGGTACATAGTAAGTTGTATTGTGTTAGCTAATATCATTTTTCTGGAGGGCAGGATCTATATCAGATTCAACGTTGTATCTCCAAAAGTATTTAATACAGTAGTAAGTACTTGATAATTGTTAAGAACAATGAAAAACAATCTAGAGTAGCCACAGTGGGCCCCACAGAAAAACTAACAGGATTTAGCAAATGATTGAATAAAGACAGTGAAGGCAAGGGAAGATGTAAATGCCTCTAAGATATCAAACTTGTATAATTGAGAAAATAACAATTGGATTAAGAGAAGTCCAAAAGATTAAAGGAAGTCCATTTCTGAATAAAAGAGAGCTATGAAACTTTTCTTTTTAGATATCTTGAGGCTGAAATGATAATGAGTCACAAAAACTTTGGCAGGACTGAAAATTTGGAGAGGAGCAGGAATACAGCCATAATTTTGGAAGTCTGCTACATAAAAGCAACAGCGGAAGGACCTTAAAGATATTGAGATTTTTTTATCAATTAACTATCTTCTCTCCACTGAATTCAAATTAGTTAGGTGGTGGTGTGTTCATATTCATTATCTCATCTAAATTAGCTTAACTGCTATGAATTATAGTAGAGTACTAAAAATTACATAGAGTAAAAAGTCCATATATTAAGAGATCATTAAAGAAATCCAACCATTTTACTGAGCTACCTCTATAACTAAAATATTTAAAATAACAATAATAAAAGATAACTCAGAACTTACCCTGAATCACAGAAACAGTTCCATAGTCCTTGGCCATGACTCCAGAGTAAGCGATTAAAAACTCGGTTAAAAATCCGATATAAATTTAATTCATCGACATCAGATACCTTCCAGATGCGTGGAAGAACGGCACGAATACTTGTTTTCACTATATCCAAAACCTAGTGGAGAAACCAAAGCATTTCAAAGTCTAGGTGTATATATATGTTCAAAGATGAAAATATTTAAAGATGATTACATACACACACACACCACACTAATTGAACAAAAGCACAGAATAAAAAGTTCAGAAATAACTCCATGCATTCATGAAATTTGGTATATGACACAGATGGCAAGTCAGACCACTACAGTAAGAAAAGATTCAATTTAAAATTAAAATTAAATCAAATCAATAAATGGAGATTTTTTTAATGGTAATTTTTCTCCCCTCTTTAATTCCCCCCCACACTTCCACTCCTGACCCATGGATGTTGCTGTTTCCCCTTAAGAACTGGATCTCTGAAGGCAGGGATTCTCCTCCCACACGTTCGCAGCGTGCACCCAGGGCCTAGTGCACCTGGGGCCTGGCGCACTAGGGGTATAGTCCATGACTCCACTTGGGGTGCAAACCCTGGTCCTTCTGCATGTAAAGCAGACGTGCTAACCACTACACTATGGAGTAACCCTCCAATGGTAATTAAAAAAAAAAAATGAAGCTGATATTATGCTAAGTGAAATAAGTCAGGTAAAGACACATACTATATGATTTAATTTATACATGGAATCTAAAAAACAATAAAAATGAACAAAACAGAAACAGACTTAAGATACAGAGAACATTTTGATAGTTGCAATGTGAGAGTGGGGTTAGGATATGAGTGAAAAGGGGGAAGAAATTAAAAAGTACACGTTGCTAGTTACAAAATAGTTATAGGAATATAAAGTACAGCATAGAAAATATAGTCAATAATATGGTAATAACTATGATGTCAGATGAGTACTAGATCTATTGGGATGATCACTTCATAAGTTATATAAATGTCTACGTTGTACTCCTGAAACTAATATAATATTGCATGTCGACTGTAATTGAAAAATAAAAAATTATTTAAAAAATAAAGTTGAATCTTCGCTCAATTAATAAAACTTAACTCTAGAATGATTAAGATCTTAAGTTTAAAAAATAAACCATTAAATATCTTTGTGGAAAGGATTGGTCAATATCTTTTAGACCTTGGTTACTTGAGTCACAAAAAAGTACAGACAATAAAAGATTAATAGATTTCGATCATATTGAAATTAAGAACTTCTGGCCATCAAGAGATGCCTTAAAGAAATAAAAGATCAAATTACAAACTGAGAAAATATATTCGAAACATATACCTCCAGCAAAAGATTAGTATCAGGACTATATAATGAATACCTAACAAATCGTTAATATAAACATCAACAACTTACTAGAAAAAAATTGACAAAAATACAGGAACAGGAATTTCACAAAAAAGGAAACAGACACTTCCAATAAACATAAAGAATAAATATTAAGCCTATAAGATATCATTTCAAGTCCATTTAATTGACAAAAATTGAAAGTTTGATAATGCTAAATGCTAGAGAGACAGGGATCTACAGGGTGTCTTAGACATTGTGGGAGGACAAATGGCACAGTTGCTCTGGAAAATACCTTGTCATTCTTTCCTAAAGTTGAAAATTCATATACTCTATGACACAGCAATTTTATCCCTAAGAGAAACTCATAGGTTAAAAACAACAGGCATGTAAAAGAATGTTTAAATGGCTGTTCACAATTGTACACACCTGGAAACAACCTAACTCTCCATTAACGAGACAGTGAAAAAGTAAACAGTAAAAAAGTAAACTCACTCTTTTGGAATATTATAAAATACTCCAAAATGAACGGAATATAACACACAATAAGAGAGCACATCTTAGCAATATCATGGTAAGTTAAAAATACACACCAGGGATTACATGTCGTATGAAACCCTTTTAATACAAGTAAAAACAACTAAATTTTTTAAATACTTATGGGGAATACCTAGATAAAATAAGAAGAAAGGAAGAAAGCAAAGAACTGGTGAATCATGAATTCAAAAAAATGGCTGCTTGAAACATGGGAGCCAGGAAGATGGACAGGAGTCATTTGGTTAGTTAATGGATTATTGCCAAGATCTTATCTTTTGTTTTGCATGTTGGCTTCACAAATGGTATAATGACACTAAAAACACTAAATAAAAGCAAGCTATATATAGACAAATAATGAGAGAGATTCATGAAACAAGGACTACTAATTTTGGTTTCTAAAAAAACCACAAAACCTACTTTGTCTAATTCACATGTATTTAATATTTATGCAGATCATTTCCAATGAAACTCTTAAAAATGAAAACATAAATACCAATAAACATAGTTATTCTAATTTCAGTTCACAGTAGATTTTTCACTTTTTATTTTATTTATCTAATTAAAGGAACTACCTATAAATATGAGAGTAAGAGGTGAAAAGAGAAAGAGACTGGCAGACATAAAGGCTGAGGGAAGATATGATTTCTCTCAATAGGCGTAAATGTATGAACAATTGGAAGCAGGTAAAATAATTTAATTTGTTTCTCTTCAAAACACACGTATTTAAAGAAATGATATTAGTTATCTCAGAAAAAGGCAAATTTAGAATAAATACATCTTTAAAAATCAGCTTTATAAAAAATTTTCAAAATAACATTTTATTTATAGAAGAATATCAACTGCAGCTTCTCACAATGAATTGTGTAAGCAGCATCATTTTCTCTCTCTCCCTGTTCCAGCTTCTTTTATTGTGAAGTGGGAACAGTATTGCAAATCCTACAGTAGGTGGTGGGGAAGAGAATGAGAGAGAATGCAATCTCTAATAAAGTGACTTGTGAAAAAATTGTCCTGGAAAAGTACATTATTACAGATAACAAATGCTTAATTACAAAGAGGAATTTTTTTTTTTAAGTTTAAAATGAATTATTCACAATAATACTGATATAATATTCATACCAGGCATTCATTTGTATTTTTTTTTAAACAATTTTCTCTTAAGCTATTAGTTTAACTCTTTATATTTCTGAATATAGAAAGCAGTACCCATGACTGATGTGATATGAGAATCAACACTGGCAGTAAGTGATAAATTTAAATTATTTCTCTTCCCAATTTTCTTTTCTACTTTCTATAAATTAGTGAGTAACAGCAGGCCAAAAGTAAGAACACAGGAAGAATTTAAAAAGTAGCCAAGATAACCCATAAATTGGTCTCAAGAATAAATATATGTCGATATAATAAAATTAAAAAGTATTAACGATGCTGGGAATTTTCACATTATCTTAATTTCACACTATTATTAAATAATTATGTAACTTTAAAGTGAGCATTTGAGATTAGGGGTTATTCATTTATTTCTTTTTGTATACAGTTTCTGGTAAAATGCATATGCTGTACAAGAACAAAAGAGAAGCGTGGCTAACATGTTGGCTGCCGGCTCTATGCCAAGCACTGTACTAGGTACATTACTTAGAGGAGACTCTCTTGGCTACTACTCTGGATATGTTTTATTCTTAATTTGAGGGAATTTTCAAAGTACGATGGTCTAATATCCTAGGCCACACAAGACTAAAAGCAGCAACTTCGGAAAGAAGCCAGGGAGTTAGAGTGGGGAGTGCTTCTGCCCCACTCCTAAGATTTCCTCCAATATGGAGATGGATGAACCTTCAGGCTTCTTGTGCCTCACCAAGCATCTCTGCCTGAAGTGATTTCCCACATTGGTGAGACTAGCATGGTCTAGGTGACCCAGGAACTTAGTCCTTTTCCAGAACACCACACTGGGAATATACATTCTTCTTTGCCTCTCTTTGTCTTCAGTTTTAAAGGAATCCCTCCAAGGAGGCAAGCTCCGGTCCTAGGGAGGGAGTGGGTTCAGGACACTTGTAATTTGGAGGGCATGAGAACATGCGAACAAAGGGAACAAGACATCAAATCCCTCATCTCTTCTCTGAGCCTTTACTTAGCTCTTTCCTCTCCTTGGAACAGCCTTCCCCTATCTTTTTTTCTGGCGAATTTCTATATCTTACCTCAAACATCACTTCTTCAGAGAGACTTTCGCCTGCCACTAAACTATTCCATGATCCCTTAACACGCATGTCTTCCCTATTAGCAAGATCTCACTGTATTTTAATTTCCCATTTATTTAATGAAGACTGTTATATACATAAAAGGAGGAATTATCCCCATCTTGGTAATAAACTTACCATGTCCCCAAGGCTCAAGACAGATCTAGAACTTAGTGGGTGTTTGTCTTAGTGAAATTGTTCCTGCAAGAAAATGAAACCTATGCAGACAAGGAGAGAATCAGAGCTAATACTGAGTGCTTACTGTGGACCAAGCACTTTTCTAAGCACTTCTACATATAGTAATTCATTTAATCCTCAGAACAAAAACATTAGGCAGATACAATTGGTCCATAATCACTCTCCAAATATCCTGAGGCTAGACTTCACAATCCTATACATTATTGTTTCTGCAGGGGAAAAAAAAAAAAAAAACGCGAATATTCAAACCAAAAGAAAGACAAAAATAACATAACTTCCTGTCAAGTCATTGTCACCAAATGAGTTTGGGTAGGTTAGATATTGCTGCCTAAAGGTTAATAAACATGTTTTGGTTTTGAAAACATTTTGAATATCATTTTATAGATGAGAAAACTCAGGTGTAGAACAGATAAGTAACTTATCCAAGATTTCACAGCTAATGTATGGACTGCTATGTAGCCAAACCTATGCTCTTAACCACTATCCAACACCTCATAATTAATTTGATCTGTCTAAGTGCCAACAGAAAAATCCTAGAAGAGAATCAAATTGTCTCTTCTTAGATTCAAATTCACCCCTAGTCAAGTAATACTTGGGAAGATAGATGGAGTTAATGTGCATAAACAAGGCTGCTCAAGCAGCCCTTCAATCAGGGCCTCGCAGTAGGGACTAGTTTGTTTAGAAGGCTATATAAATGGAGAGACAATGACTGCGCCTTTAGAAAACACCCGCTGAATAATTTCAGGAAGGCAGAGAACAGGTAGGTGAGAAATCAGACTGGAGTGAGGTAAATCGTACTTTAGTAATGCTATTTTGAATTTCTGGGTGCT